TAACTTCCGTCCTTAGCTGGTCATAGTTGTTCAAATTGCCATCATCAGATAACGATTAATAAAATAAGCCGAGAAAAGGAAAAGACGGAACCTCCGAACGAACAGCAATTCAATAGAAAGTAAAATAGGCTCTGTTTGGCATAAAGAAAGATGCCACAAATAGTTTAAGTTATTAAACAAAAAGACATCTGATGCAATAGACTATTATTTCGCAGCCCTCAAATTATTAAAGCTACCAAAGGGGTGTGGAATTCTTATATGGAGTGCATCATAGAAATATAGAGATCAGCCGCCTTTGAGCTTACTTAAGATGCTGGTAGCTAGACTGGAATACTAGGCCAATCTTAAGTTTAAACAACTGGTACCCGATTGAAAGAATGGGCCAAACTATGTGGCGTTATCTGTATCAAAATGTCTTCGCATAGAAATTGAGAAGCTTTAGTCAATATCCCAGTACTCTAAGGGGCAAGGATAAGAGGAAAATATCACATTGCAAGGAGTCCTAAGCCAATGATGTTTTACACCTATACTCTTCCTTTTTTTCTGAAAACTCCTAGTCATCCTATATACGAGGGATGAAGAAAAAACCTATATTTGAGGGAGATGAGTACATGAATAACATCAATTTGCAAGGCATTCTAACCCTGTTTAACTCCCTAGTCATCATTAATTTCTCATCTTTGTCTCAGATGTAGAACAGTTACCTCAAGTATTTTTCCCCAAAAATCAACTTCTTCCTCTGAAAAGGAAAGGTGTTCTGCATCTAGTTCAGGCCACCTTGACTCGAAAACGAATTTGGCAACATGCCCATCTTCAGTGGTATGCTGGAAAGGAAGATGCTGCCAGACATCCTCAGCCAAATGAGGTAAGATGGGAGCAATTATCCTTCCGATTGAAAGCAAATGGGCTTCAAGGACTGTTTGACAACTCCTCCTTGTAAAACTTGTACTGCCCCTGAAAATAACAATTTACATTAGCATCTAACTAATCTTTCAATGCGAGCTGTTAATGAATTCAGGTAACAAGCTGAAGCCTGGATTCAAAGGTCACCTACAATATCTAATACAAAGAGAATAGCAGAAGCATCAATGTAAAACAAAGAGCAAGGCACTGAATCCCCACATGAAGTCAATTTTTAGAAGATCTGTCAAAACTCATATACAGAGGACATAAAACCCTAGATCAACAACTCATATATGGGATATGAAACCTGTCACCAAAATGATGACTTGAAGCCAAGAATTGAAGACTCAGAATACCAACTTTCTAAGAGAAGTAGCTTGGATCTCAAGTTTGATACAAAGACTCTTAGTAGAAACATGTTCCTACCATCAAACTTCACTTTTCACATAAGATAAACTTATCAACCTGAGGTACTTACCGAGACATTCTACAGAAGCTGAAGCCTGGATTCAAAGGTCACCTACAATATCTAATACAAAGAGAATAGCAGAAGCATCAATGTAAAACAAAGAGCAAGGCACTGAATCCCCACATGAAGTCAATTTTTAGAAGATCTGTCAAAACTCATATACAGAGGACATAAAACCCTAGATCAACAACTCATATATGGGATATGAAACCTGTCACCAAAATGATGACTTGAAGCCAAGAATTGAAGACTCAGAATACCAACTTTCTAAGAGAAGTAGCTTGGATCTCAAGTTTGATACAAAGACTCTTAGTAGAAACATGTTCCTACCATCAAACTTCACTTTTCACATAAGATAAACTTATCAACCTGAGGTACTTATCGAGACATTCTACAGAAGTATTTGATTGTTAAATAAGTTAGCATGCCATATAAAATTGAGTCAAAACCTACTAGGAGAAAGATAAACTGGAACAACAAGGTTCTCTTGCTTTTTCTAAAGCCCATAATCAACATGTTAGGCTTCCAGAATGAGGATAAGAATACAAATCTAAGGAGCAAAGAGCCCAAACGAATTGTCCTCCATCTATACAAGAGTCCAAGACGTGACATTGATATGTTTCATGGTATTCCATAAATTGTGATTACTGTATTTTGATGAATCGTTCAAGATTCAGTTCAGAATCGCAGTCATTTATTTGATCGAATAGAGGATTTAGAGTCACAAACCTAACAACAAAACAAACAAGAAAGTTCATTTTAACCGAGATATCAGCAGCAGAAATTTTTGCAGCTTTCGCGCTTGTGAAAAGAGGGTAATTTGGCTTCCATTCAGCTTAATGGAAAGTGACACTTCTACTCCAACTTTTGACACTTCCATTGGAAAAGAAAGCAAGCAAAATGATTTCAATTTTGAGGAATAATTTGGTCCGCCACAGCAGCAGCTCTAAGCAACCCGAATCGTACCCTTCCTCAACTCCCTGCTTCTCCTCCGTAATCCTACCTCCAACTCCAGTCGACCAAGAATGTCCATCCACTGCTACCCCTTCCTTGTAGCCTCACCTGCAATCCTGGCTCCCTGCCCCAACAGGTGCCTTATCCCCATCGCCTCTACTGCAGTTTTTCTCCTTCCTTCCCTCCCTACAGTCTCCCATATTTTGAGCCTCCATTATCTACAGTCTAGCGTAATAACGGATGATTACTGCTTACTCTAAGATTCCTTACTACTGTAGAATTCTATTTTGTAGTTACTGATCTTTAGGAATTTGTTGTAACTCTCTCCTCCTATTTAGGATCTTTTCTGATAGGTATTATCTTTTTCAAGTTTATCTTGTTGCTGCATCTGCTGTACATATCTGTATAAATGGTCTGCCATACAATCAAATAACATCGCAGTATTTTTCATCTTCTACTTTCTTATCTTTTATGGTATCAGAGCGACACTAAACTCCCACGACTCGATCCTCTATTTTTTTTCCGCTTACTAGCCCAACCACTCAAATGGCCGCCAATATTTCTGTGGCCAATGCTGATAGAGTCAACAACGCCATTACTATTGTCCAATTCAATCCCCTTACGCAACTGCCCATAAAATTAACTGGCAGTCACAATTTCTCCCCGTGGAAAGCTCAAGTTTCAATGCTTATGTGTGGTCACAATCTCTATGGGCATCTCGATGGCTCCATCCCTGCCCCTACATGCACCATCTCTCAAAACAATCAAGATGTGGATAACCCTACATTTGTTCCCTGGTATCGCCAAGATCAGTTAATTCAAAATGCTATCTTGGCCTCTGTTAATCCTACACTTGCCCCTACTGTTGCTGTTGCAATCTCCGCCAAAGCTGCCTGGGATGCTTTGCATACTGCATATGCGAACAAATCTCAAACAAGAATTTTCAGCTTGCGAGATAGATTGGCTCGCCTCACTAAAGACTCTCGTCCGGTCACCGATTATCTTCATCAAGTTCGATCGATCTGTGATGAACTTGCAACTGCTGGTGCCCCTGTATCAAACACCGAACTCATTGTTAAAATACTCAGTAGACTCGGATCTGAATTTCGCGAACTCTCTGCTGACATTCGTGCTCGGGATTCTACAATTTCCTATGAAGAGCTTTATGAAAAGCTTCTGGATCATGAGCTTTTCCTAAAGCACGAGGAAGACAAGAAGCCATTGTCAACACCTATTACCGCTTCTGTAGCACAAAAGACTACACCAACTCCTCCTCGTCAGGGTAATAATCCTAACTCCAGCAATCGCCGTCCAGGTCCGAATGCACCTGCCAACAATCAGCAATGGCAAGCACAACCATGGCGCCCACGAAGAAACAACCAGCAGCAGATCTTATTGGTATCGTTTTCTTCTGATTCTTTTTCTTCTTTCCAAAACTTGTATGAGAAGTACCCAAATACAGCTCATTTTGATTGCAATTGAATGGGTTTATTAGGTAAGGAGCCAAAATTCCACTTCTGGATAAATCTACAAACCAAATTGCAGGTTCGATAAGGAGCCAAAATTCCACTTCTGGATAAATCTACAAACCAAATTGCAGGTTCGATAAGGAGCCAAAATTCCACTTCTGGATAAATCTACAAGCCAAATTGCAGGTTCAATAAAGGCCACCATCAGAAGTACCTCATACAAGAGGGGTCAAAACTGCAAACCAATCCTTATAATTATTAATTACTATATCGCTCTTTTAATAGCAGCAATTCAGTACTCACTGCCTATGGTAGCATTATGTCTTGCTTTGTTTTATATTCTTTTAACTATTTTTTAAAACTTTCTCAGGACTTGAAACACTATACAAGCTTGGGAAGAGAATAAAAAAGTGAAGAGTATGTAGAGATACAACATGTATTACCCAACATAAAGCCGATCCTTCGCAACATCGAGATAGAAGTTTGAAAGGTCAACTATCACAAAGCGCTGAATCACCTGCAGGGATAATGAATAATAATTACACAAAAAAGGATGCCTTCCATTAAAGGGATAAAACTAGTAAAGTATCAAAAGAACTGTCCATCAGTTGATAATTAAATTCATCTCAAAACAAACATTTTCATGAAATTAAACTTTCAACTGCAAGAAGCCGGAAATTAACTGAAAATATTTAATATATCCATCTCATGGAAAATACTAAAGGGCTCTTTATAATCTTCTTATCGACATTATAGTATTACTACACGGTGTCACAGATTAGGGATCTAATAACCTTTTAACGTGGAGTTTATGCCAGTATGATTCTTGATTAAGAATATCGTTTTGCTTTATTACACTTGAGGGGATTGAAACAAATTTTTTTCTCTCCCTCCTTTGCTCACCTCCCATCCATCCAAGTGTTTTGTTAACTTCTAATACCATCAATTTGACAAGATGGCACCAAGACCAAGAGAAGACATCATAACTGTACTTGCATAAATAGGTTGATTGTGTGCACAAGCATAGCTAACACCTTCCATATCAATATTTTGTCAAATTAGAAGTAAATTAAATATTACTCCCTCCGAATTTATGTGACACTCTTTCCTTTTTAATCAGTCCTAAAAAAGAATGACACCTTTCTATATTTAGTAATAACTTAACTTTAAATTTTCTAGTTTACCTTTAATGAGATGATTTAAAGCCACACAAATATCTATGACTTGTTTTTTGCTACAAATTTCAGAAGTCTTTCTTTTCTCTTAAACATAGTGCCCAGTCAAACACCAACACATAAATTGGGACGGAGGGAGTAGCATTTCTCTATGCGATACAGATGCACTTGGCAACTCCTAGCTGTATTACAAATTCCAGCTTTAAAGGTTCTGATGAAATCCTCTCCATACTGCCAGAACCAATTTCACCACAAGCTCGTCTTTCCATTGAACTTCGACGTATCAGATCACGTGATTATTTCACTTAACTTCGGAATATATTGGACTCCTAGAAGCGTATCAGCCATGTCTGACTAAGAGAAAAAAATGTGCAATTTGTCACTGGTAGCAAATACTTTTCAAGGAAAACTGGAGGCTGTAGATGCCAGAACTACGATAGTACGATTCAGATGTTACATTATCACTCATGCACAGAATTAAGATAACTCACACCTGAAAGATGCAAAACAAACAACTCCTTTTATTCACTATCCCTTGAAGTTTCGAAAGAGTTATACCTATTTTTTTAAATACAGACATAATAGAGATTAAAGAGAAATTGAAGTAGAATCACACAAGTAGAATCAGATGTTTCAATCACACACACACACATAGTGGCCACTTTATAGCAGCTAAACATCCTCCCTCTTTTTTACACTAGGCCCTTGACACTGCTGCAATTAAACTTCCAGCGAAAAGGATTTGTTGCTCTCATGCCTACCTTCTCAGCTAGAAAGATCTGATCATGACGAGCTTCCTCACTGTGGTAGAACAGAATAAACTAAGTTGCTGGAAGGTGTACATTCCTTTAGTGTATCATGGAACGTTTCTTCCAGAAATCCCCCTCAACCTAACCTTATCATTCCAAGCCAGGCTATTAGGTCACCTTCCATTGGAATTATTCAAAGCTCTTCTTATTTTAGAAGGGCCTTGAATGATTGGGAATTGGAGAGGGTTGTGGATTTCTTTAATATCTTGGAACAATTCCAAGGTCTTGGAGAAACTGAAGATAAACTCTGTTGGAACCTTTGCAGGAGTGGGAATTTTACGGTCAAATCCGCGTATACTTTAATTGCTGCTTCAAACCAACAGTTAGAACAATGGCCCTGGAGGTATATTTGGAAAGTAAAGGCACCTTTCAAGGTGGTATGCTTTTCATGGTTAGTTGCAAGAAAGGCTTGTCTAACCCAAGAGAACTTGAGAAGAAGAGGTTTTCAGCTATGCTCTAGATGCCTATTATGTGGTACAGCTATAGAAACTAATAGCCATTTGTTTCTTCATTGTCCTTTTACTGACCATCTGTGGCAACTCTTTCTTAATATTGTGGGCCTTAAATGGAGCATGCCAACTAACACTTGTGATCTGTTGAAGTGTTGGAATTACAATGAGGGTATAGTGAGACAGAAGAAATGGTGGCGATTGGTTCCTGCTTGCATATGGTGACAGTCTGGAAGGAGAGAAATTTAAGAACTTTTGAAGACAGAAGCAATTCTTTACAGAACATCAAGATAAGTGTTTACTTTTGTTTCATTTCTGGTGTAAAGAAATGAGAATTAGGGTTGTAGGTTAGGGGGTAGTTGAGCATTTTTCCAGCTAGTCTGATAGAGTTTGGTCTAGGTCTGCTAGCGGTTGTTATTCATCACACGATTTTTATTTCCATAATTTATTTTTCAATTTTATTATTGACATACTTATTGCCCTTCCACTTATTTGTTGTCTCTTACGGTGCTGATTCTATTGGTCTAGTTTCTATGTTGTTACAGATCTTTTGTCTCTGAGCCGAGGGTCTCCTGGAAACAGCCTCTCTACCCCGGGTAGGGGTAAGGTCTGCGTACACTCTACCCTCCCCAGACCCCACTAGTGGGATTACTACTGGATTGACGATGATGTCTGGTGTAAAGAAAGTTGTGTAGAGGAGACAGAATCTTTAGTAGACCTGATAGGTGCACTGTAATCTTAGGTTGTCATAGCTGGTTTTTGTTTTCCTTGTAAATATGGCTTGGCACTTCCCTAGTGCTGTTTTATTTATTAATATACATGTTACCATTATCAAAAAAAATTATTCAAAGCTCTTCTGTTTCAGAAATGATCCTTACTAGCACTGGATAAGAATCCATCCACTCCCTCTTTATTTTGCAGAATAACCACCGATAACGCTGTTGGCAAGACAAAACTGAATCCTAACAAGTTGCTGGCTTTTATCAGCCGCTCATAGAAATACACCTTCACAGGTGAAATTCAATACCAGCCCGCATATGTTGGATCGTTTGGACAGAAAGAAAGTTGCTTTGAAGATAGTGCTAACTCTTTCCAAAAGATTAAGTTTATTGTATAGTATTGTTTTACTTTTGGTGTAGAAAGGAATTATAAATGAGGATGAATCACTGTTAGAATTCATGGAATCCTTACATGAAATTTAGGGAATATTTTTGCTTTTTGCTTTTTGCTTTTTACGCCTTCATTGAATATTAGTCATTTTATTCAACAGAATTGATGTGTTATGTTCCCTATCGTCAATCCTAAGGACCTTGGATATTGGCCTCAAATTTTTCTTCTGTATTACCTTCTTTTTTTCTTCTGAATAAATATTTTCCTCCATACTTCTTGTGCTAAGCCTAAATCCTTTTCCCAAAATATCATTCAAGCAGCCAGAACTCTTCAACTAGCTTCTGTTCTCCTAATTACCAAGTACAACTGCAGCAAGTTGACTGCCCCTAGAGAACCGTAGATTTAAGATTGAAACTTTGGGCAGAACTAGTGATCCAACACCTTGACTTCGAGGTGTGACTGGTGCCGAAATGGTGTTTTTTTTTTACTGACAGGGTTTATATGCTTAAATAAAGAATATCTGATTTAGTTTCTAGTTTCTTCAGATTTTCCCCAACTATCAAGTAAAACTAGAACAAGTACATCAGGTTTTAATCTTCTGAAAACTTCATTGATTTGTCACTGGTGACAGAAATGGAGTTTATATCCTTAAACTCCACTGCTACAGTGCCACTTCTACCTTACCACTTAGCTCATGTTGACACATATACGATGCAACTGATCTGCTAATTGTGGTTATAGATCTCATCTCCTGACGAACTGAGAGAAATGTACGTAGCCATACCATGACTAAGATCCTCCCCCTCTTTTAGTTAAAAGAAATTGTGAAGCTCCTCTTTTCCTTCAATGATATGCACTCTTACTATCTTCAATCAAACAATTGCCCTTTTCCGTATAAGCAAAGTTTTAGAGTCGTCACATTTCAGGAACTTGAAACATCAACTAAAGAAAACATACCTGAAATATTTTGAAAAACTGATAACCTTCATAGCTCTCTCTGATGTTGTTCACAACATTAGCAAGCTGGAATAACGCATACTGATCAATCACAGGAAGATCACTATACGGGACTGCACAATCAGCCTGCAGAAAGCAAATTTCAGATAACGACTTCACGTCAAAACTACCAATGTTAAGTTATGAACATCTAATTCAAGAAAACTAATAAACTCATCAACTTTAACAAGTAACAAATAATACTCAGTTCAAGAGTCGAGCATAAGAGGGATCTATAAAACGGACTGCACATGCTCTAGGTGTTTATGTGTGATAGAGAGAGTAAAAAGAGCTTAGCAGAAAAAGAAGATGATGCTGCATAAGTGATCAGAGCATGCAAGAAGATTCTTATTTTGGAAATAGCCTTGATTGAGATTGTTAAACCTACTTTCCAATCATGGAGATTTGCTAGAAGGAATCGAAGTGTTCCTCGCAATTTCCGGTATATGTCAGACATTTGACGAAGGACTTGAGGTCCAATCAACACGTCGCCGGTATAATCTACACTTGAAACCCAAAGCCTTAAAACATCAGCACTATATGGAGGACTTTCCTGTCAAAGATACAGCAGAAACGTCATTTCTTGTCAAGAGCAGGTGTGAAGTGCACACTAATTGCAATAAATCGGCAACATACCTTGTGGTTTTTCCCTCCTTCAATCACCATCCTTGGATCAACAACATTGCCCAAAGATTTGCTCATTTTCAACCCCCTTTCATCCAGTACAAATCCATGTGTAATAACACCACGATAAGGTGCCATGCCTGCAATTATGACATATGATGAGAATTACTATAAGGCAAAACCTCGAAGAGCCAAAATCTAAAATTTAGACTATAAGAATGAAACCACTAATTACTGCCTTGTAGTAAGAGCCCCTACTAATGATTTTGCAGCAAAAACAGTTTTGCTTCTTTTGGATCATCCCTCATTGTCTCCAATGTCCAGGAATTTTTCCAAATCCCTTATCCTCTTCCAGAATATAACTTACCACTGTTTAAGGAGAATAAGATGGTACACTGTAGGTCTGAAGTTCCAGAGAGAGAGATCTATATGAATAATAGCAGATAGTAGAGGACTATAGTTATGGTTTCAGATGTAGAAACATTGAACAGCCATAAAGCCCAAAAAGGAGGTCAAGGGGGTCGACTAATTCCCCGGGAAGTTACCCCTGTTTCTTTCCCTACTTCTTGTAGCCAAGCTTGATATTTCCTGGGAGAAAGAGACTAACAAAAGATTTTTTTTTTCTTTTATAAGATAAAGATTTAAGATTCTCTAAACCTTAAGTGATATTACATAGGATGAAGAGGAGGACTACAAAATGCCCCTTACCTTTAGTGGCAATACTAGTTAGCAAGGAACTCTGGAACCAACCACGATGTTGATCTGTACCCTCAAGGTATAAATCTGCAGGGTAATTAAGGCTATCTCTTTTGTCCAGCACCGCAGACCATGAAGAACCTGAGTAAACAGCGGTTAACATTATAATCCTAGTGCTAAAGAAAAATTTACATTAGGGACTTCTCATGAAATATAGTGAAACCGGCACATTGATGAAGAGAGAAAATATCAGGGAAACAACACATAAGACACAAAAAAATAAAAAGAGAGAGAGAGAGAGAGAGAGAGAAGGATGTAAGAACGATATACTGAACACCCAAAAACTATAAATTTGATGCAGCAGGAAAAACTGAAATGCGAAAAATGTTAGTTTTGTAGTATTTCCGCTCATCTTAGGTTGTAAATAAGGAACCCTAACTTTCACCTCCGTTTCCAGTTGAATTAACCTATTAGAATTGTAAGGGGAAATGCAAATGCATGCATAAATGGACAGGAAGAGGATATAAGCTAAGGCACACTATGCTGGGACAATAATAAACAAAACTCCAAGCGAAGATGGATGCAGACAAAGTTCTGTTTATATTGTACTCAGCTCTTCCCAAAAAAAAAAAAAAATTGTCACTCATATAGACAATTTTTGAAAATTTCCTATTTCGGCAATATTAACCATCGTGGGTATGAAGATTGTCTTTAATCTTGTACGTTGTTCACATTTTGGAGCTTTAGTTGAAGTAGTCCTATAGGGTAGAAAAGAAAATGGAATCTAGCAAGGTGATCCATTCCTGCACCCAATATAGTTGGGAATATCACAAATGACCCAAAAAGGGAATGAGGACATTCAATTTGTTCGCATTATAGGCAGCTTTGTTGGCAAAGTGGTTAATAAGAATTCCGACTATCTCACTTGGTGATAACAGTTCATCACACTCTATTCGATTGTATCCGGCTCAAGAACCTTCTCTTCTTTGTCACCTTTGATTCAATTACCATCTTCACCAAGAATGGCATGGTCGTTGTTAAGTGTCCCACATTCAGTGAGAGCAAGAACCAGGAAGTAATTCCATAATGTTGAGAATTAGCTACAATTATTTTACTACTTGCCTTGATCAAGGTAAATTCGAAATTTGGAGGATAAGGTATTCTATTTGCCCGTTTAAGAAAAGAAGTTTTTAGTCACTTTAATTATGGGGTCCTACCAAACCCAGCTTCAGAAACTCAATCATAAAGAGGAGAAACTGACTAGTATTGCTGAATAGATGAAATTATTTTCAAAAACAACAAGAAGCAAAGGAGAAACCACCAAGACATATAGATTTTAGCCATGGCACCATAAAGTTTCAAGTAATCAATGATCAACATTTATCCCCAAAAAGGGAATTGTTGAGCTAGTTCAACAGGTACAGAGTACTGAAAGAAGCTATATCACCTGAGTCAAACCAAACATCCATCGTATCAGTCCCTTTTTCATAGTTTGATGCTTTATCACGATATTTCTCAGGAAGTAATTCCTCCACTGACATGTACCACCATGCATCGCTTCCTTTTTGCGAAATTATAGCTGCAAAATCATGATACAAAGTGAGAATGAACATCTGCATATTCCCAATGCAAACTAAAGATTTTAGTATTTAATAAGATTCATATGCAATGTAGTAGACAAGTTATTTATCACGCCCCAATTAAAATCCACATAACACAGAAGTACAAGAAATCACAACATAAAAGCTTTACATTTGATATGATCTACAGTTTCTTCATTCATCAGTGGTTCCTTTGATTCAACGTGGTAAAAGACTGGAATGGGGACTCCCCATGTCCTTTGGCGTGATATACACCAATCCGAGCGGCCAGATGTCATAGCAGAAATACGGTTTACTGCCTGGAGACAATTATATTATGCAGTTACAAAGCCACTAAAGGACCAGCTGCTATCTTTAAAGAATTTGAGAGCCAGAGTATTAACAAATACCTGAGTAGGAGTCCAAGTTACTTGGTTGATTGCATCCATTGCAGCATCACGAAATCCTTCTACTGATGCAAACCATTGTTCAGTAGCCCTGAATATTGTGGGCTTCTTTGTTCTCCAATCGTAAGGGTATTTGTGTTCTGCACAACATTTATTAGAAGAAAAGATTAGGATTACATTCAGAAGAAATATCACATTATTTAATGAATCACGGGAGACTTATAGTCTGTGGACATCTGGAATAGGCACTGAATCAGTAACCACTTACTGTATGGCTCTACCATGACCAGTGTCAGCTGTTCATCCAAGTAATCAATAACAGCAACATTGCCATTGCCAAGCACATCGAGCCCCCTAAATTGTCCAGCTTCTTCTGTAAATCTCCCAACATCGTCAACAGGGGAAACTATAGGCAAGCCGTATTTCAAGCCTGTTACATAATCTTCCTGTCCATGACCAGGTGCGGTATGAACTAATCCAGTTCCTGACTCTGTTGTAATGTAATCACCCCCAATGACAACAGGGCATTCCCGGCTATCTATAGGATGGGTGTACCTGAGAAAAATTGAAAGTGGGTTCCTGATGTAATAATGAACAATTCCTCTCTAGTAACAACTGTGAGGAACTCATGAACAACAGCATTCACAACTTGGTTATGGACCCACATGGATTATACTTACAACAATAACAACATACCCAACATTATCCTACACCGTGTGATCTGGGGAGGGTAGTGTGTACGCAGACCTTACCCCTACCTTGTGAGGAGAGAGAGGTTGTTTCCAATAGACCATCGGCTCAGGAAAGCATAAGCACCACATTAATAAAAATATAGACAAGAAGGGGCAGCACCGAAAAGCCATATAAAAGCAGAATAAAAACAATAAGATATTAAGGTGATCAACAACGAAAGAAAACAACGGTTAGTCATAAAAACCTACTACCAACAGAAAGCGAGACGGCGTGCCAATACTATTGTTATGAACACTCTAGACTACCTACCCTACTACCCTAACCTTCGACCTCCATACCTTCCTATCAAGGGTCATGTCCTCGGTTAGCTGAAGTTGCGCCATGTCTTGCCTAATCACCTCTCCCCCACCTCTTCTTTGGCATACCTCTACCTCTCTGTAAGCCCTCCAATGTCAACCTCTCACACCTCCTCATCGGGGCGTCTGTGCTCCTCCTCACACGACCAAACCACCTAAGCCGCGCTTCCCGCATCTTGTCCTCAATAGGGGCCAAACCCACTTTGTCGCGAATAACCTCATTCCTAATCCTATCTAACCTGGTGTGCCCGCACATCCATCTCAACATCCTCATCTCTGTTACCTTCTTCTTCTGGACATGAACGATCTTGACTGGCCAACACTCAGCCCCGTACAACATAGTCGGTCTGACAATCAGTGTATACCTTTAAGTTTCGGTGGCACCTTCTTGTCACACAAAACACCGGAAGCGAATCTTCATTTCATCCATCCGCGGCCAATACGATATGTGACATCTTCATATCAATCTCCTCATCCCCTGAATAATAGACCCAAGGTACTTAAAACTTCCTCTCCTAGGGATGACCAACGAGTCCAGCCTCGCCTCCCCTTCCCCTCCTTAAGTCTCACCACTGAACTTACACTCCAAGTATTCTGACAGCATAAACACATGAAAATCAGTGGAAATATACCATTTGAATTGTATTTGGCAGCACAAATAATAAGCTTGTGCAACCAGGCATACAAGTTCAACACTTCACCTGCAATTTTCAAGATCCGAACCCAGTACTGTTTTCTTCAAGGCAAGCTTCAAGCCCCATTTTGCTTCTAATGCTGATACAAGGTCCAGAGCTACAATAAGATATAGGCTTTTATCGCCCTTCAAGAAATTTCCAAGCCTCTTCTTTCCATCCCCGGGAGATGTAGAATCGTCTGTCGATGCTGAGCAAACTTCAACGACGGCATACTGAAGCTTACCATTTACTGCAACAGCTGCAAATCCCCGCAGTTATTATTAGACAATAATTGTACCTCAATATATTAATGGAAATGGAAAAAATGAATTTCCATACCACGACTTAATGAGCATTGACTACAGAAAAACCTAGCAAAATTTCGCATGATAACAGAGTAGCAGCACTTATATTTTGTTGAGGCAACAGGCTGTGGTCAATAAATTCAATTCTATAACAAAAAAAGAACTCCACTTGAAAAGGGAAGTATCTTTAGCATGTCATACAAACCCGAAATGCTTCTGAAACTTGAGAATAAATCAAGCATCGGTTACTTAAGTCTTACACAGACACAAATTTATCTAGTTCTTAAATCTGCTTCTCTCAAAAAGGATGGAAAAAGGATGCAGCATAAAGATGGACAAAAAACACGCACAAACCCAGTAAATTCGGCAAAAGATACTCCCCCAGGAACCAGATTCCTCAAAATCAGAGCAACAACGGAAATTTAAGTGAAGAATTCAATCTCATTAAGCAATGGATATGACACAGTTGTGATAAAATGGAACTTGGATCTAACTCTTTTTTTTTTTATAGATTTGGACCTTGGGTCTAACTCAACCCCAAAACATAGCTATGAAAAGAGAATTGCCTAAGATAATATAAGAAAACCACAACCCAATCCCTCAACCAATGTGGGACTTAAGACCCCCTTAACGCCCAGGACTGGAAAACTGGAGCATGGATAACACAACACAGGGGCTCAATATTGAGAAACACAACAACAGCCATCGAAGGGTTTGACTTTGATATCATGTGAAGGAATGGACCTTGGGCCTAACTCAACCCCAAATGTCAGCTCATGAGGGAACGATTGCCCAAAACCATATAAAGAGACCACATCCCATTCCAACCAATGTGGGACTTAACAAACAGTTATCGGCACATAACTGCATCAGCACCATTCTAGTGTTTGGTTGCTTACATGTAAGCTTTTCATAGACCGGCTATGTTGTGCAGCGCCAAAATATGCACACTTATCTAGACAATATATTCCAGCTTATATTTAACCATTTCATGTCAATAGTGACAACTACGATATCCTGCACACAGAAATTTGATGGTCCGAGCAGGAAACTTAACTTGAAGCCATAGTTCCAATGAGTCTTATACAAGATGCAAAGTGGACATAACACCTTTCCTAATTTGGATTATTTACAGAAGGAAGAAAAAAAAAAAAAAAAGTGTTGGAATTACAAATTGTGATGATTCCATAAAACACCTTACCAGCATTAGCTGGTATTGTCCAAGGAGTCGTCGTCCAAATTGCCAAGCATAGATTGGGCAAGAATTCTTTCAATGAGTCACATGAAGCTGGTACATCAACTAGTCTGAAAATAGCGTACATGCTCTTTGACACATGCTCCTCATTATACTGCATATAAACTACATAGATGTTAGATAGAAACCATGTATATACATACAAATAAATATATACATATACATAAACACACACACACACACACACACACACACACATATATATATATATATATATATATATATGCATACTCAGGGGCGGCTCCAGGACATTTGAGGCCTAAGGCCAAAGTCAAATGTGAGGCTTAAGTATTTAAATTTTAAAAAAAACTTAAATGATATGTATGGAGTAAAATTAATAAAATACCAAATATCAAATAAAAACAATACTAGAAAGATATTACTCGATTACTGATTCAGGAAGTTTGAAGAATGAAGACTTTGAGTCCAAAATATCTAGTCTTTTTTTTTTTACTCCTCCCAAATTAGGAGGATTTATAGTGTTTCCACGCTTCCCCTCCAGCGTGACTCGAACCCAGCAAAATATCTAATTGTTGCTTGTCTACTTCAAAATTCTTGCTGTAAATTTTGAAAACTATACTATATTTTTTATAAAGTAATAGAAGTATAGAACTATTGGAATCTTAAAAATATTATTGAACACTTGAACTAATAAATATTTGGAGAAAGAAGGTGAAAAATAAAATTTTGGAGAAAAAAAATATTGGAGAAAGAATTCAAGAAGGTGAGCAAGAATAAAGAGAAAGGAAGAAGATATGTAGGTTGTGGAATATGAAGAGTAAGATTGAAACATTGGAAAAGGAGTAAAAAATGGAATTATTAAATCAACTCAAATTGAAACTTATTCATCTATCATTTTTAAGTAAGTCAAATTTTTACTTTATTTACTCTAAAATGTTTTCTTTCCATTTATATGAAAAACACAAAAGTACTACTACATATTATTTTTTTAAATACCTATAAAATATATATTATTTCTGAAAAATGGGACCCCTCAAAATTGGGGGCCTAAGGCACATGCCTTACCCACCATAGTGTTAGAGCCGGCCTTGTGCATACTCATACAACTATATAACTAGCAGATCAAAGTTACACTGTTCAACCTTTCCAGTAAATTATTTATGATATAGCATATATCAAATCAAAAAAAAAAAGGACAAAGAGAGAGAGGAGATGTTAACCACAGAAAACCTCTTCTAAAAAAATGAAATGGGAGATACAACAACATCATGACCCAGACTATGCTATTGCCCAGACAACTTATGAATTGTCACCCTCACTCTGCCAGAAAGTACGAGTCAAAGTCAAAAAGTAGTAGAACCCACGGCCTTGTAAATCATTCAAGTTTTACCAATCTCCCAGGTGGAATAGAGTATCACAGGGAAAGTAGGTCATCTTCGAAGAAAGCAGCAATAGAAGTCCACATACCTCCAGTTCAGCCTCTGCAAGTGCAGTTTGAGATGAGGGACTCCAATGAACTGGCTTCCTGCCTCTGTAGATAAAACCTTGAATAGCCATCTGGCCAAATACTTCAATCTAGTAGAGAAGCATAAAGCAGGAAAGGAGTTTTGTAAGACTAGTTTGACGGTATAATTATTGTTAACATAAAAAAAATACGCAGTTTACCTATCAAAGAGAAAAGCATTAGTGCTAGCTTTCATAACAAGGACAGAAATAGAGAAGGCACACAAAACATCTAGTACAAAAGCAAACCCACAAAAGCATTACCAATAAGAGCAGATCTATGCGAGATTCAGCAAAAGACAGAGAAGGAGCTAAAAGAATTGCTGTGAAGATACCTGAGCAGCCTCATATTCTGGATGAAGAGTTAGATAGTGTTGATCCCAGTCAGCCCATACTCCATAACGCTGCAACCATCTCAGACTCATAAATGTTAGCATTATGATAAAACAGAATAAACAAGAAAGGAAGAATAGAAGGACCATGATGAAAGAATATAGAATGGGAAGTAGTAAATTATAAACAACCTTAAATGATGCCATCTGACTCTGCACTGTTGATTTTGCAAATTTGGCTGCCTTGTTTCGCAATTTTAGCGGTGTAAGCTCTTTTCTGGCATCAGCGTCTAATGACTGTAACACTGAAGTTAAAAGAAGCTGTCATGCCACCAAAATAAAAATTAGGCGGCACAGATAGAAGAGAACAGCATAATAGTATGTTCTAAAGTTTTGGTCCCCTTATTCCATAATTTTTATCCACCATGTCAGACACTCGAGATAGTGTTAAATTTCCAAAACAAGTCTTGCCAAATAGTTAAGGAATAAGGTGGAGTTGCATGAGAATGATAGTCTCTAATCATTGGAACTGATTAAGAGAGAGAGAGAGAGAAGGAGAAAATGTGGAAAAAAAGAAATGTAGTATGTGGAGTTTCCACAGACAGCAATAATATCTATATTAGCCTCTATGCAAACGGATCCTACTTCATTAAAAAGAAGCTTGCCGCACATTCTCTAATCAGGAACCAAGGGGGAATAATCAATTTGATTATGGTTGTACTTAAGCATGCATGCTCTCAAGCCAATAATAGGTAACATTTCATCTCAAAAGACCAAGGAAATTGTCTCAAAGACTGGTTTTGATCAGGAAAGTAGCCAATCTGAAGTGCACATGATCTGTAGTTTTGAGTAATCCAGTGTAGTTAAATCAAAGGATCGAAAGTAGAAAGGAGAAATAGGCTAAGAACAACAAAGGTCAACCAAAGAATGATACACGGCCTTAAGTAAAGCTCTATCAAAAGAACAAGCTACCATCTCTGACTTATATTTGTAATTGGTCTGCCAATTTGGAAGTTCAGACTAGGTATTTTGCATCACAAATGGTTTACGCCAACAAATGTCTGCTTCTTAAGTATAACAACTCAAGTAGCGCAGTGGCAGAGAATTTTAACAAATAGATACTTCTTTAAGGACAAAGCCAACTTTGACAAGTACATTCCCCGTAAATATAGGTTACATCTGCTAACATAGTATAACCGTTAATCTAGACTTAAGCATAGGAATATTCAACAAACTTGACTGAAACTGCACAAGCAACGAAGTTTACCTTTTAACTCAATTGGTAAGCCGTGGCAATCCCAACCGGGAACATACTGAACTTTGAAGTTTTGAAGAAGCTGATAAAACAGAAGAACTGATTAGATATGGCAGGAATTCTTATGTTAATATACAGAAATGAATTACATGCAGGGGTAAAAGCCAGTTAACTCTAAGTTCTAGCATAATTTGTAAGTAGACATGATAAGTTCCAGGCACCAGAAATGCCTGGGAAGTAGTCTTTGTGAATCACTTGTAAACTTACAGTAGTCCTCCCTTGAGTTCGTGTGACAAATTTTAGGCAACATAGAACACAATATAAACCATACTGAACAATATTACAGCCAGCATAGCACTGAGACATGCTAAAATATTGAAGTAACATCATGTTAAAGCCTTATAGCTTTTGTTATTTTTCACTACAAATCTCACCTACCTGCTCGTGTTATGTGCTTAAGCTAACCAACATGGATGCAAAAGATCTTATCCAGATCTAGCAGATAAAAGCAGACGATGTTATACTAGAGCTCAACCTGTGTGGGCCCAAGTCATGTAATGATGAGTGAGAAGTAAAGGAAATCTTACGACAAACTATCAGACAACACCAGCGGCTGTATAAATTAGGCAAAGTTCAGCTAGTGAGGGTTAAAATTTACTAAGCCGGCTTGCGAGCTACATACACTCAGGTTAGTTGTGGCTCGACTTGACAAGTCTTTTTCAGGCTCCAATAAGGAAGCTGGCTGAGGTTGATCTCTCCAATACCCAATTTGTTAGTCAGCAACATGATTCTTTTTCATTTCTGGTGCTTACATTTAAGAAGATCTATGTTATTAACATCACATAATCCTATATTCTCTTCATTTTCCATTCTCTCTCTTCTTAGTCGTAACACATTTTTTATAAGGTAAAATAATTTTATTGATTTAGCGGAAAATTCCATATACAAGCAGTATACTAAAATGTAGAGAACAAACCTAAAATATAATATGATTGTCTACAGAAGTCACCCATTCATCTGTACTGTGAAACAATTTGAACATTCAACACAAAATCTTAAGGCTACAGCTGGAGTATAGTATTCTCTAACACCCTCCGGCACATGTAACCAGGTTTTAGGGTTTACACGTGGATTCGATTTTTCTTTCTTTCTTATGTTTTTTCCTTTTTTCTTTTTAAGTAGAGAGAGGAGGCTAAATAAAGTGGGCTTGGAATAGAGAGAGACAGATTAGGCTGAACAGGCTAATAAGTTGGCTTGGAGCAATGCTAGTGGCTCATTGGGCTGAACTGTGTGTGAGAGAGAAACCCTAAGCAACTCCATGGGCTGCGTTGAAAGAGAGAGGTCTAAAGCAATAGAAAATGAAGAGATAAAGCGGCTGGGAAAATGGGTTCACCAACTTTTAGCTCTGATACCATGTGAATCTGAGTGTTCAACCCAAAACATTAAGGGTATGGTGGAGTAGCACAGGACCATTTAAACCCCTTTGAATACCTTTACACAACCGATGACAGATAGGTGTAGCATTCTCTGACATATACAAACAGGGGATTACCCTTTGTCTCCTCGTTTTGCTATCAATCAACTCTATCCTTGATAAAATTATGAAAAATAAAAAGGTACCCTGTTGAATTAGTCGAGGTGCGCGCAAGCTGGTCCAGACACCACGGTTATAAAAAAAAAGAATAAAAAGAAAAGAATCATAGAGTTGAAGCTTTCATTATTTACATGGAAAAAACATCTGTGGTTGCTCTAGATATTTTTTTTGAGATGGTAACATGGTTGCTCTAGATATTTTTTGATTGATTTATAAAGCAGTTCTCTTCTGATACTGAAGAAGAATCACCCTTTATCTATAGCTAGAGCAACACAGTAACAACATATTTATGAAGGACTTATGTTTATCATAATAAAAAGAATAGAATTATCCTAATGATGAGGGTCGTTACTATCACAAAATGATCTAACTTAATGAAGAATTTCCATTGATGAATCTCAAAGTACCTCAAAAGAGCTTATGTAGCAGTAAGTGTTCCATGTTATCAGATCAAGACTTGAAAGCGAGTAACTTAAAGGCTCAGAGCTCTCAACAGATCACCTATAACCAAAAGTGGCAAATCAAATATGATCTACCCGAAGCAGCCACTGTTGGTACTCAAACCCTAATGTGCCAATCAAGAATTTACTCATATACACGCAACATGTTAATGTTCCTATCACCGCAAAGGCTAACCACCAAAGAGAACCAATGAACCATGTTGCTATTTAGTCCAATGCACATACATAAAATAATAATACTAACTAAGAAAGAGTAAGCTTACATGCCAACCTTATAACGATTAATAATGTCCTTCAAGATCTTATTTAAAGCATGTCCCATGTGTAAGTCACCATTAGCATAAGGAGGTCCATCATGCAGAACAAAGGTGCCCTATCAAGAAACTGTAAACATTAGTCAAAAGCAATTCTCATTAGTAGAGATACTTAAGTCAGTCTTCAAGCACTCACCCCACTGTTCCTCTCAACAACTCTTTTAAAAACCTGGTTGTCATCCCATATTTTCTGAAGTTCAGGTTCCCTGACTGTGGAATTTGCTCGCAAGCCAAAGGCAGTCTTTGGTAGATCAACTGTGTCCTTGTATTTCCCATCTTCCTGCTTAGTCCCTAGACAATATCAAGCAGGCCAGTCAGCTTACAACGCTGCATCTTGTCAGCAATGACCGTAGTGACTAGTAACTACAATAATCTCAGCTCATTTTTATACTCAAAAAAACATAATTTCCAGCAATATCGTATAAAAATCCCTACCTTCAGACCTTTTCTTGGCTGCCATTATCGGTCCGCGAGACCTCCTCTTCGTGGAGGGAAAAGAATCATCATTGGAATAGGTAGAGTAGCGGGTCATGTTCATAAGAGAGAAAACTCTAGCAGAAGAGCTGCTCCTTAAATTTAACAGGCTAACTGAAGTGGTTTCCCTGAGGGATGAGCAACTCTTTAATGACCAAAGCTGAGCAAACAAAAGACTCTACATCAGCCACCGGAAGCGTAAATGAAGATGCCACAACTAGAGGTGGCAAAATGACTAAAATAAAACAGTTATCCACCCATATTATCCATTTAAAAATGGGTTGGGTAATGAATTGTTTTAAAACGGATCGAATATGGATAAGAACCATATTATACACTTGGCAAATGGATAACTAATGGGTTTAACTTTTATATTTGTAAAACCTCAAATCGGGGTTACTCAAGTTTGGGAGACCAGGATTTCTCCAGAAAGTGATCATATTCAAGAAGTCATGGATAATATGGATATCCATATTATACGCCGGGTAACCTGTTTTTATCCGTATTAAATATGGGTCGAGTCGGATAATTTATACGTTTTTTTAATTACCCGTTTTTGACCCGCTCATATCCGAACCGACCCGCCCGTTTGCCACCCCTAGCCACAACATACAAAGAAATCAATTACACACAATGAATGTATGAGTGGCATTTTATCAAGCATCTGGCATGCAAACAATAATCAAGACTCTTCCCATAGAAAAGAAAAAATGAGTGAAGCAATAATCCAATATGCAGATACACACAATAAAGTGACACTCTAAATTGGTCCTTAATAAAAATTGAATCTTGACTGCATGAACTAAAAAAAAATAGTCAAATAATGACATTGATTGTACTCTTATTAACAAAAAAACTTGGGAAAGCAATGAAACCCATAAAAATTGCAACTTTAATTTATCAAGAAAACTCATAAATATAACCTTATAAGAAGAGGTTTGCATAGCCATTTTGGCTCTATTAAAAGGGTGGCTTCCGTTCATTTGAAAGTACAAAGCTTTTCTTTCTTCTGCTGCTTTGACTACAGAAGATGGAAAAGCTGTGTCACTGCTTTGTGGATAACTGAACTAGCCAACGAGCTCCCGTGTCTTAGCGTTTGCGATTTGGCCCTTAATTTCCAAAAAATTGTATTGGTGACTTTGCTCTTGGGACTTTTCTTGTAAAGAATTGCACCTCTAGCCCTTCTAGTTTATAGAAACGAGTCTTTGAGTACACAATTTTAAAAAATAACATAAATATTATATTAGATAGTGTACTTCAGTTTAAAATAATTATTAAATAAAAAAGCTTAAGTCGCTGAAAATGACAACGTTGATCCCATTTTAAGAAATAGTACCCCTCGAAAATCATCATATGCCTTATTGTGATTTCTAAGAACATCTATAGAAATATGTCACGTCCTTAGTCTTGAACTAAACGCACGTGCGGTACTTGACAACCTGCTCACGATCTTGCTATGTCAAGTCAGCCTAAAATAATACACTCAAGATCGCTAAGGGAATGTTATATACGAAAGACAGGAGAAATTGGCCAAATGAAGCTTTTTATTGTAGTGAACTTGATTTGTTTGTTTGGTGAGTTTCAAATGAATAACCCCCTTTATATACTACTCTTCTAGGGGTTAGTAAGTAAAAATTATTATTACACAAGACCCTTATTATTTACAGGTAAGTCCCTTCTCTATAATATTTTACACAGCTAGAATCATCTAAGGACTTTCTTAGCAATTCCATAGGGTTCTAAGGTCTTCCATGAGAAATCTATGTATTTCTTTAGAACCTTCCCACGTGTGCTAGTCTATTTCATATGTAAGCTTTCCATATGTCAAAAATATATGCCAGGTGGCACCCTACGTGGTAGCATGATGTGGCGGGCCATGACACTCTTCCCCACCCAATTTTGTGCCGCCCTTAGCACAAAGCATCGACACGTACGCGCGCACCTCGCCTTGGCATCGCCGGAGATCTTTATCCATTAGCCATGATGCCCTATGGAGCGGTTCGCATTCCCATGTCATAAGGTATCGGTCACCTTTCTTCTTACCCTGTTTGTACTTTAGACGGCTAACAATTATGGCCTCGATCCTCCGCTCATCTGATGCCTCTCCTTGCTCTTGGCCTGAATCTCCCCATGACTCAACCAAGTCTAGCAGCTTCTCAAGCATCGGGTTCATGCTTCCACTCCCTATTTGGATGCGCTCCGTGGTCCCAACCTTGCTAGTAAACTTGACTTGCCTGCTTGGTGCATCGTCTAAGTCCGATAGAGTTCCATCACTTTGTAACTTGCCATCCTTTTCAACTATGTCCCCCAACTTTTCTTGCTGCCACCATGCTCCATTTGATTCCAGGCACATCCCCCTAATGCAGGCAGTCCCTTCTGCGTCACCCTTGTGTGCATGAGCAAAGTTTTTGATCATTGCTTCAATCTTCCCCAACTCTGGCATTTACTTGTCCGATGTGATCCTTTACAGAAGTAGCACCCTCTTTTAGGCACGTACTCGCTACCATTTTTTGGCCCCTTGTCATTTCTCTTTGACCCTTATCCGTTATAGGATGGTCCCTTGCCATTGCCCTTGTATATCTCGACTATGTCTTTCCCGTTGTCCTTGTCATGATCTCTCCCGCCCCTCTCGACGTACCTTCTTTGGACTTGGCAGGCTCCATCTTGAAGTCAACGAGCGACTTATCTATCCCTATGGCCTCGTCCACGTTGTCTATTTGATATTTTCTTAACTCATGCTTTACCCAATTTTGTAACACATCCATGCACTATAAGAGGAAATCTTACTCGGACAACGACGAGATTTGCAACATTAATGTAGTGAACTCGCGCACATACTCCCGAATTGTGGTCGTCTGGCGGAGCTCTCTTAGCTTCCGCTTAGCTTCGTACAACACATTCGTTGGGTAGAATTGCTTCTTCAACTCCTACTTGAACTTCTTCTACGTCTCAATCTTGCATAGCCTCTTCTCCATATCAGCACACTTTCGACGCCACCATAGTGCGGTAACTTCGGTAAAGTACATTGAGGCGTTGCGTACCTTAACAACTTTGTCATCCTCCTTGACTACATCAAAGTACTTGTCCATCTTCCAGAGTAAGTGACCCACCTCGCGTGCGTCCCGTTCACCGCCATACTCCTTATGCTTAGGGGCCTTCACATTTGTCCCTTTTACTAGTACCACGCCCTTGGTAATCCCAACCATGGTTCCTTACAAAGATTCCTTCTAGCAATCTCTTGTATTCTTTATAACATTCCTTTAGTCATAACCTCTGCTCTGATACCATGTTGTCACGTCTTTAGTCTTGAACTAAGTGCACGTGCGGCACTTGACAACTTGCTCACGATCTTGCTATGCCAAGTCAGCCTAAAATACTACACTCAATATCGCTAAAGGAATGTTAGATAAGAAAGACAAGAGAAATTTGCCAAATGAAGCTCTTTATTATAGTGAACTTGATTTGTTTGTTTGGTGAGTTACAAATGAATAGCCCCCTTTATATGCTAGTCTCTCAAGGCTTAGTAAATAAATAATAATTATTACACAAGGCCCATTTATAAAAAAGTCTCTTTTCTAGAATATTTTACATAGTTAGAATCTTCTAGGGACTTTCTTAGCAATTCCATAAGGTTCCAAAGTCTTTCATGAGAAATCTCTATATTTCTCTAGAACCTTCCCATGTGTGCTAGTCTATTTCATATGTAATCTTTCCATATATCAAATATATGTGCCAAGTGGTACCTACGTGGCATGATGATATGGCGGACCATGACAAATATCTATAAAAATTGTTATGACATAATATTGAAAACAAGCGTTGGTCGTTTGCCACGATTTTTTCAAAGATTTTTCATAATGCAGAAATTGAAAACTTGAACATTTTGATTTATTAGAGATTTAAGAATGAAATGTTGGCCTTATAGCTCCTATTAATATAAATAATGTAAAGTTTAAAAATGACTAATATTTAGTTATTATTTACAAGTAGTACAAATTACTTTTTATTTTATGTATATATAAGTATATAGGGAATTACCATTTTTTAAAACGAATCGGAAAAAAAGATTGTTTGGATTGGCTTAAAAGATGGTCAAACTAACTTAGATAATGTAAATTAGATATTTAATGTAAATTAGATTTTTGTTTCTCCTTTCTTCAGATTATTTACATTCAATCACGCCAGAAAATAGTTTGGGACAAAATAATGCTAAGTGGGATGATAATAAGAAAAAAGGGACATCCCGGTGTACTAAGATTCCACTATGCACGAGGACCGGGGAAGGGCCGAACCACAAGGAACTATTGTACTCAGCCTTACCCTATATTTCTGCAATAAACTATTTTCACGGCTCGAACCCGTGACCTCCTGGTCACATGGCAGTAACTTTACCAGTTACGCCAAGGCTCCCCTTCTAGATATTATCATACCACCAAGTGGGATGATAATATCCATATTATATTATATGTATTGAGTTATGTGAGCAAGAGATTATAAAAAAAAAATAGACCAAACACTTGCTTATCTAAAGATGGGTGGAAAAATATTATTAATGAGTTATCTAAGAAGACGGGAAAAGAGTATAATAAAAAAATAAAAAAATCATTGGGATTACATAAAAGCCAAATGGACTCTTTTTAAGCAGTTGATGAGGTTATAGATAAGTTTAGGATGGGATGCCATGAAAATTACAATTATGACAGATGATGATTGGCGGGAGCAAAAAATTAAGGTATATCTCTCATATTGCTTATGTGTCGTTCATTTCTTTTTTCATTATTAATTTTATCTATTATCTTAAAGTGGATTTGAATTTTTTTTACATGAGAATGCTCGATATAGAAAATTTAGGAACAAAGATCTTTCACTTATATGGTTTCGCTACGATGCTCTGTTTGCTGATGTTGTCACTACGCGAGAAAGAGTATGTGCAGCTAATCAAGAACAAATGTCTGGCATTGGATTAGACCTCGAGAAAGAAGGAATAAATGATATTGATGGTTGTGACAGAGAACACTTTACTTATCTTAATGTTGAAAGGAGCGATGAAAGTGATGATCTACAAAATATGGATTCTATTATGTTTCCTGAGCCATCACTAAGAAAACGAGAATCAATTGATGGTATTAGCACTAGCAATTAAGTAAAAAAAGAGTAAGAAAAAATCTAGTGCAACATCAATGAAAGAGGAAATATATTCTCTGATAGAGTTTATGTCTATGTCTAGCAAAAGCGCTGCTACATCTCCTGCAGAATATGAGTTCACCATCGAGAAGTGTATTGATATGTTGGAAACGATTCCTGATATTGTTGATATGAGTGAAATTTATAACTATTTTATGAATACGTTTCTTAAGAAATACATGCGACAAATATTTCTAAGGGTGCCTACCAATAAAGCTAAGAAGTCTTGGTTGGAGTTTAATTATGATATGTACCTTAAGAAAAGTGGCTAATGTGTCGATGTGCTTAAATATTTTTATTAATTTATGTTTGAACATTGTGGTTGTGATGCCAATGGATTTTTTTAGTTTGTTTTTATTAGAACAGTAAGAATGTGATGCCACTGGAATCTTTTAGTTTGTGTTTATTAGAATGTAATGCGTGATTTTACCTTGCTGGGAATCAGTTTGGTATTGATGGAATATCTTTTTTTCGTTTTTGAATGATGGAATCTTTTTTGTATGATGGAATCAGTTTGGTATTGATGAATTTTTTTTTTTGTGTAATTCGACCTGTCAACTTGATCACTATCAGTTAATTTATCACTTCAAAATGTTCAAGATTGAGTGCAGAAGTGATACACTGTTAGCACTTAGTGCGAAACTTCTCTTGTATCTACTAGTGAATCTGCATATCACATGTTATATTTTAAATTATTAATTTGTGTTCGAAATTTTTATTTCCAGTTAAATGGAGAGTTGAGATATTAGCGATTTGATAGATCCTTATCCAGGTGATTTGTCAGATGGTGATAATGAAGATGAACTAGAGAAAATTTGGAGGGAGCAATATGAGAAGGAATGGATGGCTTTATTTCAAATAACAGGTAAATTTATTTTGATGTACTACGAAAAATACCTATACAAGGAACCTTATCGTACATCTAGTCGCTCGGGGAATATGTTTGTTCAAGAGATATTACGAGGAAATGAGACTCGTTGTTATGAAAATTTTAGATTGAGGAAGTCGGTGTTTCTTGATCTAGCCAATGACTTAACTGAAAAATATGGGCTTAAACCCACGCGTGGAATATCTATACATGAGATGTTAGGCATGTTCTTGATGACTTGTGCACATGGAGCTGGAAACCGGTTAATACAAGAGGTCTTTCAACACTTAGGAGAAACTATTCATAGACACTTTCATAGTATTTTGAAAGCCATTTGTCAACTTGTAAGAGATATTATTAGTCCACATTTAAATTATAACGATAGTGTAGGAGCTCACAAGCCATGTAACAGGCGATATCTTCCTTTCTTTAAAGTAAGGAACAATCTTTACACAACTATGCTTTATTAAACTTATAATTGGATTTATGTAACGGGCGGTCATTTTGAGAATTTAAGTCTCGTTTGGCGGCGTAAGGCCCTGAGCAGCTTTATATTATGTGTATTGACTTGCGTGCGTGGTTAAATTTAATTATCGGATGATTCGGAGTGATGTGGGATACTTAGTCCCTAAAACGGAAGCTTAAGCCTTAGGATTTTGATCGTAGTCGGAATTGTGTGAAGACTACTTCGTAATGGAGTTTTGTCGGTTCCGTTAGCTCTGTTAGGTGATTTTGGACTTAGGGGCGTGTCCGAATTATGTTTTGGAGGCTTGTAGCTCATTTAGGCTTGAAATGGCGAAAGTCAGATTTTTGGAGATTTTGACTGTAGTGGACTTTTTGATATCGGGGTCAGAATCCGATTTCTGAAGTTAAAGTAGGTCCGTAATATTGAATATGACTTGTGTGCAAAATTCGAGGTCAATCGGACGTCGTTTGATAGGTTTCTGCATCGGTTATAGAAATTTAAAATTTCAAGTTCATTAAGTTTGAATTGGAGGGTGATTCGTATTTTTAGCGTTGTTTGATGTGATTTGAGGGCTCTACTAAGTCCGTATGGTGATTTAGGACTAGTTGGTATATTTGGTTGACGTCCCGGGGGCCTCGAGTGTGTTTCAGATGCTTAACGGATTGAGTTTTGGACTTATGCAGTTGCTGAAGCTATCTGAGTTCTGGTGTTTTCGCACCTGCAGTGGGGAGACCGTAGGTGCGGGATCGCAAGTGCGGAGAGGCAATCGCAGAAGCGGAGAGGAGATGAGCTGCCTGGGGTCGCAGGTGCGAAGGAGGTGTCGCATCTGCGATGCCCGCAGAAGCGCTAAACGATCTGCAGTAGCGGAAGAAGACCGCAGAAGTGGACATGGGTCTGCAGGTGCGCACACGCATGTGCGACCCTT